CCTTTATGTTCTTTTTGCTCAGCAGTGGTTTTCGTCTTGGAACTCTGCCATGCAAACCATTTTTGCCCAGTCTCTTTCTTATGGTGGAGTCATGAACACTCACCTTAACTGAGGCAAGTGAGGCCTGCAGTTCTTTGGATGTTGTTGTGGGGTCTTTTGTGACCTCTTGGATGAGTTGTCGCTGCGCTCTTGGGGTAATTTTGGTCGGCCGGCCACTCCTGGGAAGGTTCTCCACTGTTCCATGTTTTCGCCATTTGTGGATAATGGCTCTCACTGTGGTTCGCTGCAGTCCCAAAGCTTTAGAAATGGCTTTATAACAGAGTTAAGTTATGTTTTGACAGGGGGGGGAAACACTTATTCACACAGGGCTTTGTAGTTTTGGATTTTGTTTTCCCTTAATAATAAAAACCTTCATTTAAAAACTGCATGATGTGTTTACTTGTGTTATCGTTGACTAATATTTAAATTTGTTTGATGATCTGAAACATTACAGTGTGACAAACATGCAAAAAGATAAGAAATCAGTAAGGGGGCAAATACTTTTTCACACCACTGTACATTGCTGTTAATTTGACAAAAGAAAAATGTTTGTCCTTACAGTTCGAGGCTAACGTCTTAAGGTAAGTTTTGAACAGGCAGTTCAAGCAAATGTGACGTTGATCTGGACATGATGTCATCACACCTGAGGCTCCAACACATGCGCGGTATAGTTCATGGAGCAGTTGTATCGAAACACTGTGCTGAGGCATGGCTAGTGATGTTCAAAGCGGTTGAGTGCTTTGGACATCATAGGAATCACCTGATTGGTTCGGTTTGGTTGTCTTGGCTCTTTGGGAGAGCTGAGCTGAGCCTTCGAAACACATAGAGACTGAGTCGACAGAGATTTGGTTTGACAGTGTTGCATTCAGAACTATAACATTACTATGCCATGATACTCAGAGCAAATGAAAACAGTTGTAAGTACTGTAATATGCACATTGGTACTGATGATGGATCACGGAGTGTAATAGCTAACGTTACTCAAATAGGTGAAACGACCACGAAGTAGTGTGTTTGGAGCTTGTGGTGCATCATGAAAGCTATAGTCTTACAATAATGTAGTGTGGGTTCAATTCCCAACAGAGCTGAGTGTTATTTAGCTCATCGATTAAACATTTGAAATGAGATCACATTTGCCATTTAGCCTACTGAACACCCATTATTCAGCATCTTTTAAGCTATTGGCTATTTAGACTTGTTTTAGGATAGAATATAATTCATAGCACAAAATGTCAGGCTAAGTATATAACTATAGCCTACTTGACAGTTTCTATATTTGTAGACAGATACCACACAGTAATGTAACCACCAAAAAGAAATACATGCGAGGCAAAACTGCAGCATTTGGCAGCACAGTGGTCCACCAGACTCCATCCAGGTGGAGTCGAGAGGCATGGCCTCTCTGTGTGACTGTTGCTTTTTAGCTCATGACCAAGTCAGCTTTCATGTAACACAAAATGAAAGGTGAAGTGAAAGAATTTCTTTGATAGCCATCCAGGTACTGTATGTAATGTAGTATTAACACTGCACAAAGCGTTTCACACTGTACAAAAAGGCCCTACTCTGTACAGTTTCTTTGTGTTGCCATGGAAATTTCCACTGCCAGCCAGGAATGAGACAGCGCATGAAGGCGGTCGAGAGGCAGGTTCATGGAATAAGGGAATATGTGTTGAATTTTTTTTTCTTTGACTGACTCAGTCCAAATGAAATACAGCTGTTTATAGACACTACACCAGGCTGCCCCCATCTTTTCCTTTTCTTGTCTTCTCCCTGTTCCTCTGCCTCTGTCTTTCATCACTTTCACAACGATGAGCCAGTAAACAATGAAACAGCCGAGTAAAAGTTCACTTTGGAGTGTCTGCTGTGTAGCTCTGGAGGTAGAGTGGGTTGTCCACTAACCGCAGAGCTGGTGGTTTGATCCCCAGCTAGTGATTTGTGAGGCTGTATTTAGACAGTAGTGCCTTGAGTTAAGTACTAATGTCAGTGTGCTAACAATTACAATTCTAACGTGTTAATGTATAGCAAATAATGTTAACTATGAAGTTATAAATAATAAGAAAAGCCAACGAACATACCGTAGATGAATTCAAGAGCTATTTAAATAAGCACAAGTTTAATGCCTTTACACCCTTATCAGGATATCCTTAAGGTGTATTACTAATATTATGTTTTTTTTTGTTTGTGTGTGTTCAATTTATGTATTTATTTAGTTATTGTATATTCTTATGTTTTGGGAGCAAAGATTTCCTGTGGCTTTGCATTCTTTATTTGTTGTACATATCTGAAGATAATGTTTTCTAAATAAAAAAGTAATGTTAACTATGTTTGCTGGCCTAGTTTAGCATGTTAGTATTTGCTAATTAGCACCAAACACAAAGTACAGTAGTTCTGCAGGTGCTATGCCACTATCTGACAAATTAAAAATATGACCTAATGAACATACTAGATGAAAGGTTAGGGGTTCACTAAAGTTATCACAGTTCATACTGTGAGGTAATGGCAGTCTGTCCAGAAGGTGTTGAGACATTTTGCACATAACCATAAATATCAGCTTCATAGTGGCACTATGGGAAAAGAGTATCACAGAGACTGTCCTCCTCTAAACTCCATTGGTCATTAGTGTAAGCAGCTTATACTTAGTTGAAGTAACATTTAGCAGTGTAGCAGTGTGCTTCAGCTTCAGGTTTTCCACTAAATGCTCAAAAAATGTTTAAGTTCAAATCTTTAGTGGTTGCAGTATTCATGACGATAGCAAAGGAGGAACTAAATCCCTGTAAAAGTACTGTATATGGGGCTGCAGGGCCATGTGCACACACAAGAATCTCACACAAATTGAAAAGAAAAATGGAGAAAGTCAGTAACAAAAAACAAAACCTAAAGACAGTGAAGTAGCAGACTCCAAAAGCCCATAAATGACTTTATAAAAACATGCCAAAACTACATGGTACATGGTTTTCATTTGACAGCAATAATATGTAACGCACCATACTTCTGCTCTTCCTAGAATTTTCTGGCATTTATTTACCCCATGGGGATTATAAGGAAGCATGTTGATTGGGATGTCCTGGCTGCTGTCCAGCTTCTCAGCTCACAACAACCTCAGTCCTCACTGTGTTTGCATCAGACCGTTTGATTTAGGCATGTGTGTGTCAGTCAGATCAGGACATCTACCAGTCAAAGCATGGACACACTTTCATCCAAACCTTTGACTGCCAGTGTATGTGTCATGTTTATACTGTATACTGCACAGAATGCAAAAGGTGACTTTTGGAATTTAAGGCTTTGTTTGTTTTTTCTTTTCTTCAAAATTGAGCGTCCAATTTGTCATGACCCTTGAATTTTACATTACTGCTTTGGAAAGAATTTACATGACATGTTGTTGCTGTAGCATCTTTGGATTGTCATCAAGATATTAGACATTATCTGTTCAGTCAGAAATTGTACATTATTTTTTTTACCATAATTATCTAGACATGAATCTATAGAAGGAAGCAGGACAAAACAAGTCATCAAAGTGTTTGCTAGACCTACTTGTCTCACATCTTGCACAGCTATAGAAACCCAGTGGTTTCTGTGTAACAGAATAATAAACTTTATTTAGTTATTTTACCATCATAAGCAATTTATTCCATGATGGGGAAATATGTTGACTGTGTTCCAGGTCAGAATCTCAAAGGTGACTGAGCATTTCCCATTGGCTGCTTCTTTTACATGGTGTGATGTTGTTGTCCTTTAAGCAGCGTGTAGTCAGGACCAGTGGTGGGAGGGAGGTGGGTTCTCTGATGGCGCTCTCCACACTGGCTCCCAACATGAGGCTCTTGGTACACACAAAAAACAGTGGTCTACATATTCATGTCTGCATCTATGGCTGGGCCCCTTTGTGATGTTTGCACAGATGTGTGGGTTCAAAGGCAAGAGGCCAAACCTCCAGTAACCCTCTGGTGGTCATGGCCCACCCCTGACTGGGAAAGATGGAGCCTCTTTTGGCTACAGATTGTCCCATGTCCCATCATGGACAGATCCTGGCCTCTGATAAAGTTTAAGAGAAGAATGTTAGTCCAGCTGGGGAATTTTTATAGCTATCCCTAGCGGATAAACAGTCTTATACATAATGCCAAGGCCAAGGTATATGCTTTAATGATATCATGGGGCTTTAGAGAATGACATGACCAAAAGGCATTAGCTGTTGTTAACAATACTGCTTGTTATTTAGGGTATACAGTGTTATCGTAACTAATACAACCAGTCAGAGTGAAAATAATACCCAAGTTGTAAATGTTATTTGAAATTGTTTTATTTTTGCCTGGGCTAAAACCATTTATTTTATGACCTTCCTATCTGATAAAGTATTAAAACACAAATCCTCTCTTCCTATATAATCTGATTTAAAGTTTGTACCATCTTCACAATAGCCTTTGTTGTCTGTTGTGAATATACACCAGCTGCACCCTCGTTCTGCTTGCTAGAGGCTTCTTGGTCAGTTGTGAGGAAATGAAGTAAACATCCTGCCTTTAGTAAAATGTTTAGTGTTGGACCGGACTAATGAACATCTGTGACATGAAGGACCAAAACTTCCACTGTACCATGGTTGTAGGTAGAATGCCAGTGAGGAATGACTGACAGGGGGAATGACTCTGTTTTGTTTTGGTTCCTCTGTCATCTGGATAACACATGTGCAGCATTTTTAAAGTTTAACAAGGAGTCATCTTGCCAGTTCAAGGCTGCACATGGCTGAAGAGCGGCACAGTGTGTTCCACTTTAGACATGTAGTGCTAAATGTGGTTAAGAAATGGAAAAAACAAAACATCGTTTTGAATGAAAACTTTGGGCTCATTTTTATTAACTCTCTGCTCCAGTTACACAATAAGAGAGTTACTGCTGCTGCTCAGCACTGCCTTGTGTTACTAGAATGAGACTTGTATACTGTAGTGATTTGTGACACATTCACTTGTATGTTGCAGGTATTCAGGAGGGTACAGAGTGCACCAAGTGTAAAAATGACTGGGCGTTAAGGGCAGCTATTGCACTCCTCTATGTGCTCTGTGCCCTGCTCACCATAGCAGTGGCTGTCCTTGGATACAAAGGCAAGTGAAAATTTCAACTAAAGACCCTTCTTGTATGATACTGTATAAGACATTCATACTGTTATATTTCTACTGTTCTATGTTTCTACTGCTGACCTCGGAAAAAAATTAAAGTATAGTCTTACAGTTGGTGCAAAGTCACTCAAATATGAGGATACGGCCAGCATTATTGCATAATGTTCCCATTGTTGACAAATCCTATTACAAGATCAAAACTGACATGTTTGTCTGTTTCTCGGTGCTTTATGACTTCCCCATTTCACACCCATTCACTGTTACTGAGAACATCAATCTTTAAAAACACAATGATATAGTGTTATGTTAAAGAAAGGCTTATGGATTTTTTAGAACAGCCGGACATTGTAATTTTTAACAAATGTTAATGGGGACTGTTTTCAGCTGCAGTTTAATGTGCACATGGCACTCTCATTAGTGTTTCCGGCAGCTGGATGGTGTGTATGTTCATGTAAATAAAGGAACATGACATCCAGTGGCTCACTGATATGTTTTTGGACCACGATGAAACTCTTAACAGCAGAGGAATAATCTTCTGTACATCAGGTTTTGGCTATATAGGCAATATGTTTTTTTTCAGTGGTTTGGGTCTTTTCATGGGATTTGTTGCTAATAAAAAATATAGAATAACACCAAACTTTTAACAGTTCTCTAGTATCCCTGGGTTCTTCAAAAGCTACAAAGTTAGATTTCATCAAGGAACAGTATTCAATGTTTAATTTTAAAAACCTTTAAAAATTAGTCTATTTAAGTTATCTAGCCTCAATAGTCACCTGGTAACAGTATCAATTAAGTCATGTTGCTCTCATATGTCTGCATTGGAAGATAGAAATGAGTCAATAAAATCCCTTAACATCATAACTGCCACATCACAACTGAAACATATAAGCAAGGCAGCTTTATTTATATAGCACATTTCATACACAGGCAATTCAAAGTGCTTTACATAGGCAGAAAACAGTAACAGCACTAAAAACAATAATAAAGAAAATGAAAAATGAGATCAAATATGTAAAATAAAAATAATTAAAGTAAAAGTAGACTGTTTTTAGTAGATTTTCCCTCTTCGTCCCCTTTCTCCCATGCGTAGTCTGTCTCTGTCTTTGTCTCTGTGTCAAAGGGGTTTAATGAAAGTCAAAAAGTTGTGTCACAAAATTTACCACCTGAAGAAAGTCACTTGATGGTATTCATTGTTTCCTCTCCACTAATCTGGTATCTTTTGGAAATTAGTCATACATATTAGTTGTGCACCGCTACAACCCATTATTGCTGTTTCAACCAAGGCAGTGATGTAAAATAGAAACAAAGTAATTCAAGTTATTTCAGAAGTAATCAATATGGAATGTACTCTGTGTATTGTCTGGTTGTACACATTTCTCGCCCAAATCAATAAAAAAAAACATATCCTTGATCAAAACATTTAAACACAAACAAGTCATGCCTTGTAAGTGCTGTCGGGATTGTTTTGGGTTCCTGCTTTGGGGTCTGTGTTAGTGTGAAGTGCATGTGATTTTGATGGTTTGACTCTAATGTCTACCAGATGAGCAAGCAAGTGAAAACTCTGGCTTAATAACCCAGAGGAGATTTTATGGTTTGGTAGCAATTTGCTGTCTCATGAACCACAGGTTGGCTCACAAACAACTGCAAGTGTCCAAAATAGTTTATGAGAAAGCAATGTGCTGGATTCTCTATTTTTGTCGTCTACATATATCTTTTATACGTCATATACTGTAGTTTACCAGCAAACATAAAGGCAGTTTGCACTAAACAACATATTTCTTAGTTTTGACTCTTTAAGTTTCGTAGCATAACTCTGTTCCAATACATTTTGTTAAAGATTAAGAGCATTGTTTGTGTTAGCTGGTGTGTCTCTAATTGTCTGCTCCTGCAGCATGGATCAGCATTAATCTGCTTGGCCTCACCTTGGGTAACTGTGTAATTATGGTTCATACTTGGGTCACAATAGGCAACCAATAAGCCCTGCTCAAATTAGCTGCGTTATATAATGTCGTAGCATAACTCAGTATTTCTGTACAGAGTTAGAGTTTAGCATTTCATTTCTAAGGGAAGGAGAAGGTGTAGACTCCAGCTGCATCATCTAGTTCTAGCATTTGGCCAATAGCTTTTTGAAACTGGGCTCATGAGTTTTTGTTTGTCCCAAGTGCATGTTGTTGTTTCATGTTTTTGTTACTTCTGGAATGATAACAACGAAAGCCCACATACTGACAGAAAAATAAACACTGGGGGAAAGGAGGTAGACTCTCACTGCAGATGTGAGGAGCAGCGACAAAGTGGAAACAGTGTCCTAGTGTGGTATTCATTATGTCTGACATTGTTTATACCAATGAAGTGGAATTTGTGAATGCACTCTGAAAAATGAGAGATACAACAGATACACAGCTGTGTGGTTACAAAAATCTTCGAAGACTCTTCACCCTGTTTAACGTCCTGTGTTCAGAATTACTGTTTGAGTTTCCAGTTATTTACTGGACAGGTACCAATACAGCAGCGCCCTCTGGTGTTTAAAATCAGCCGACTAGCCTCATCCTTGCAGAGTTATCTTGAAGGCAATGCTGCCACACTGCGTGGGCTCAACCAGTCCTTGAACTCCTACAGTGGACTAATTAATGACCTTCAGACAGACACCTCATGGCTCCAATCAGAGTTACAGGGTCAGGTCAAAGTGCAGACCCAGACCCAGGTTAGCATTAATGCGCTAAACATTACCCAGTTTCAGCAGCGCAGTCTGCTCAGCACGCTGCAGAAGACAGTTGAAGACGCAGGCCAGGCAGTGCAGAAACTCAAGAATGACTATCAGGGTCTGCAGCAGACAGCCAGACAGACCCAGGCCGACACAGAGTGGCTAAAGGGAAAGGTCCAGAACATCCATGTTTTGGCAGCCAACAACTCAGCCCTGGCCCAGTCCAATGGGGAAGCTGTTGAGGATTTGGGTGCTCAGCTCAGCACACTAGCCAGCCAGATCCAGAACACCTCAGCCCTCACTGAGGGGCACGGCCAGAGCTTGCGTGAGCTGATGGACCACCAGCGAGACCACGATAATGCCACTTCATCCAAGTTTGATGAGATGGAAGCACGGTTAGACAGACATGAGAATGACATAGACCGTGTGACTGGAAATGTAAGCTTTTCCGCTCAGCTCCTCGGTACCATCAGCTCTAATCTGAACAGCCTGAGGTCCTGTGCTGAGACAGTGATGCTACATTCAGATCTGTTACTGGGGCTGAATAGTAGTGTAACTGAGGCCAAGGCAGAGAGTAAAGAGCTGCGCACCCAGCAGGATGAACTGGCAGCCAGGTTGGACAGAGAAGTCAACAACCTGTCTATGGTGATGGAAAAGATGAAGGTGGTGGACAGCAAACACTCACTGCTCATCAACAACTTCACCATCCTGCAGGGTAGGAATGCCCCATGAATTTGGTGTGCATCCTAAAAAATTGTCACATACTGTATGTTTTAAGTCGTAAAATGATTCATTGGTCTGATTTAATTCTTTAAACAAACACATAACACACTTGTCCAGATATTATTGAAAGTTGTGACATGCAGATTTAACTATTTAAGGTATTACTGTGTATACAGAGTACATTTTTACTAAAATAAAAGTATCTCATGTCATCTGGTAAACTATTCAAAATTCTGCTTTTCCACGCAGTGACAGGAAGAAACATATCTGACTGAAATTATACCTCTTCCAGCCTCTAGCACGCTGCTGTATCTGCAAAATAATATATAAAAGTACTCAAGTACAAGAAATACATTTCTTCTGACACTGTGGAGGCATGCAATGACCTCAGCATTAACAATACATTTGACATATATAGTCCACTCATCTGCTGCTATTATGTTTCAGGTCCACCGGGTCCAAGGGGCCCCAGGGGTGACAAGGGTCCTCAAGGGCCAGTGGGCCAGCCAGGACAAAGGGGTGATAAAGGAGATAAAGGGATACCAGGATATGTGGGACCTAAAGGAAAGAAAGGTGATGCCGGACCACCGGGTCCATTCGGTGCAGTGGGTGCACCTGGGGCTCAGGGTCTTCCAGGGCCTAAAGGTTCGAGAGGCTCTGGAGGTCGATCTGGAAACACTGGTGATAAAGGTGACCCAGGCCCTCCAGGGCTTCCTGGTAGGGAAGGACCATCAGGGTCCCCAGGACTACCAGGGCCACCAGGGCCCAGAGGAGAAGCAGGACCTGTAGGATTGGAAGGGCATGTTGGACCCATGGGCCCTCGTGGTTCTCCGGGGCCACCAGGACCACCAGGACCACCTGCTGTCCATATAATACCTCCTGAGCCCACTCAGGTCTCTGAACCCCCCAAACCAGCAGAACCACAAATCTCTGCATCCCCACAGCCCCAGCCCCATGTTGCAGTGCCCGGTGAGTTAATTGGTTACATAAGTGTAGAAAATAGATATGTGGCTCAGCACAGTTGGTGCCAGAACAGATTAAGCAGAGGGTTCAACAGGTTGTCGGGGAAGGGGGGGCAGCGCAGTGTGCTGTTGCTTTATGCAATGAAAAAACACATACGGCATCTCACATACTGTAACACAGTATTACACAGCACTGCAGCACCACAAGGTAGCATTGTTGCTCAGGAAGCCTAACCACACAGACTACTGAACGAAATACAAATGCCGTCCAAAGGAGCATGAACCATGATACCTTTTGTGAAAATGGCTTTTTCAGTGATTATATGTGTAGAATATCACATTCTGGTAACTAATCACTCCAGGTTGCCCACCTGAGTTCAGAAGCTTTGGAGACAGCTGCTATTACTTCTCCTCTGGTTCTCAGAGACTCAGCTTTGATGATGCCAACCAGTTTTGTACCAACAAGTCCTCTCATATGCTCATTATCAATGATGATGAAGAGCAGGTAAATTAAAGGCCCAGATATTATCTTTACTATTATTACTGTATTACTGACATTAAAGAATGAAGCAAACCACTGAAAATAAAGTGGCTGATTTGTTAGTTGTGAACTAATTATATTGGCTGATTTGTTAGTTGTGAACTAATTATATTGTAATTTATCTGTTGCTCTTATATCTGCAGCAATTTGTGAGAACTGCAATTGCAGGAAAAGGTTATTTCTGGCTGGGCCTGACTGACAAGGAGGAAGAAAATATCTGGAAGTGGGTGGATGGAACCATACCTGTGTTCAAGTGAGTTACCCCGCCATATTGGTTTCACAGAAAAGTGAATTCATGCATTTTAGTGATTCCTGACTCGATGCCTTGCTTAATTCTGCTCAAAACAACAGGTTTCTGTGATTATAACTAACAAACACTTTGTATGATGCTTGAACTTCATGAACTACACGTTGTTCATGTTGCTGCTATCAGGAAGTGGAAGCCTGGCCAGCCTGATAACTGGACCCATGGCCATGAAGATGGCGAGGATTGTGCCGGCCTTATCCATGATGCCAACTGGAATGATTTCTACTGCACTGATCACATTGGTTTCATCTGTGAACGTGCCTCTTGACTGTCAGTAACTTCAAACCTTTCTGAATTTTGAAATCTCTTTATTTGTGTTTGTGCATGATCAAGCAATGCTTTATTCTATCTCTCAATATTTCCAGACTTTTCTTCTGTCTGTGTCACTGAGTTCATTCATTCCTACTCCATGTGTAAATCTTAGCAAGCACCTCACAAATATATAATTTCATAAAAGAAATGAGCATTGCTCAAATAGGAGTAAACAGTCCATTTGCTGGGTAATATTTTCTGTTGTCAATTGGTGCTCCAGTGAGCACCAATTTTTAAGACACCAGGATGATATAAATAGGACTAACATGGATCGGGTTCTGTCTGAACCCGACTTGTGCCCAAGAGCGTGGCGTCTGAACCTGACAAGATAGTAATATATAATGTCCAAACCAGACTCGAGCCCAGTTGAGTTTGTACAGTGTTTTTCCCCTTGTCGTTAAACAAAGCAGACATTTGAGCACTGCACCGGTCTAACCTAAAGTTTTACCTATGTGTCTGAACCCAACCCAGACCCAAACATAATTTCTAAATTTCTGTCCGAACCCAGCCTGAATCCTTGGGTACTGCCAGGTCCCATCAGGTTCAGTTCGAGTATCCATACTCTAGTCCTCACCAGATGACACTTTGCATAGTTGCCATGAAAATGTAGATAGACATGTTTTTGTGATTCTGACAATAAAAAATATTGCTAACCCTGACCTTTAAGAAAGGCAGATCTGATGTCTGAAATAGGATTCCCTCTGTGGCCCTAATATTCTATCATTTTATATATAGCCTTATAGTCTATGGGAAACTGTAAATTATCTAATGATAGCAACATCATCTAAAAGTCATCATTTATCCAAAATGATTGAAATTAATGATCACAAACGTTTAAACAATGACAGTGGGTCTAATTATATGTGATAACAATGTATAGTGTGCAGTGAAATAACTATTGGTTTCCGTTTGTGGTGACTGCTGACTGACATAAGGGATGAGATTAAATAAATCCTGGAACTTAGCCTGGTCTGGAGCAGGCTAGCTCCACAGAATAAATCTCCATGGTAATTTATACCATAACATCCTGCCGCCATCTAATCCAGCTTTAGTGCAACCGGATCACGGATAAATTGAGCCAGGATCACCAAGATATCCCGGCTTAATCCCTTATCCTAGTTTTGTGCAATAGGCCCCTGGTGTTTAAAATCAGCCGACTAGCCAAGTGCAGGCATGTTTACAATTTAAAGTCTGAGTATCTCAGTCTGACCTTTGTTGAAACTATACTCAACTAAAGTTCACAATCCACAGGAAATGCACTTCCTGTGTTAGTGTCTTGGCATCAGTGATGGTCATGTTCTTCTTACCAATCAGTAAAGGAGTACACTACATCAGCATCATAAAATTGTCTGTTTAACTTAATTAATGCTTTCTACCTCTGCATGTTTCTATTTACATTACACCTTTTTTGTTTCTGTTTTTTCAGTGGTCCAGAGAATGGACAGCGTCACAGAGGGAATACAGAAATATGGAGGCAAGATTGATGCTGTGGAGACAGACTTAAAGAAACTAGGTAAGTGTCATTAACGCAAGATTAGATATCAAATATGCATAAATTGAACCTATGATAGCTGTGAACAAAATTTAGGGTGTTGAGTACACAAAGATGCTTTTTGAATGTAATGTTTACCATGTTTTTCTTTTCAATTAACAGAAATATGTTTGTGTCTACCTTTTAGATGATCAGGCAGAAAGGAAATCATTTAATGCCACAAGTGAAATCAAGACTTTCAAGTCCAAACTGGTGACATTACAGAACCAGCTGAATAACATTACCCTCAGGGCAAATAGAAACAAGGAAGTTCTGGATGGGCTTCAGATTACAGGGGATGACATGCAAAACAGCCATGCATCCTTGCAGAGTTATCTTGAAGGCAATGCTGCCACACTGCGTGGGCTCAACCAGTCCTTGAACTCCTACAGTGGACTAATTAATGACCTTCAGACAGACACCTCATGGCTCCAATCAGAGTTACAGGGTCAGGTCAAAGTGCAGACCCAGACCCAGGTTAGCATTAATGCGCTAAACATTACCCAGTTTCAGCAGCGCAGTCTGCTCAGCACGCTGCAGAAGACAGTTGAAGACGCAGGCCAGGCAGTGCAGAAACTCAAGAATGACTATCAGGGTCTGCAGCAGACAGCCAGACAGACCCAGGCCGACACAGAGTGGCTAAAGGGAAAGGTCCAGAACATCCATGTTTTGGCAGCCAACAACTCAGCCCTGGCCCAGTCCAATGGGGAAGCTGTTGAGGATTTGGGTGCTCAGCTCAGCACACTAGCCAGCCAGATCCAGAACACCTCAGCCCTCACTGAGGGGCACAACCAGAGCTTGTGTGAGCTGATGGACCACCAGCGAGACCACGATAATGCCACTTCATCCAAGTTTGATGAGATGGAAGCACGGTTAGACAGACATGAGAATGACATAGACCGTGTGACTGGAAATGTAAGCTTTTCCGCTCAGCTCCTCGGTACCCTCAGCTCTAATCTGAACAGCCTGAGGTCCTGTGCTGAGACAGTGATGCTACATTCAGATCTGTTACTGGGGCTGAATAGTAGTGTAACTGAGGCCAAGGCAGAGAATAAAGAGCTGCGCACCCAGCAGGATGAACTGGCAGCCAGGTTGGGCAGAGAAGTCAACAACCTGTCTATGGTGATGGAAAAGATGAAGGTGGTGGACAGCAAACACAACTTCACCATCCTGCAGGGTAGGAATGCCCCATGTATTTGGTGTGCATCCTAAAAAATTGTCACATATGTTTTAAGTCGTAAAATGATTCATTGGTCTGATTTAATTCTTTAAACAAACACATAACACACTTGTCCAGATATTATTGAAAGTTGTGACATGCAGATTTAACTATTTAAGGTATTACTGTGTATACAGAGTACATTTTTACTAAAATAAAAGTATCTCATGTCATCTGGTAAACTATTCAAAATTCTGCTTTTCCACGCAGTGACAGGAAGAAACATATCTGACTGAAATTATACCTCTTCCAGCCTCTAGCATGCTGCTGTATCTGCAAAATAATATATAAAAGTACTCAAGTACAAGAAATACATTTCTTCTGACACTGTGGAGGCATGCAGTGACCTCAGCATTAACAATACATTTGACATATATAGTCCACTCATCTGCTGCTATTATGTTTCAGGTCCACCGGGTCCAAGGGGCCCCAGGGGTGACAAGGGTCCTCAAGGGCCAGTGGGCCAGCCAGGACAAAGGGGTGATAAAGGAGATAAAGGGATACCAGGATATGTGGGACCTAAAGGAGAGAAAGGTGATGCCGGACCACCGGGTCCATTCGGTGCAGTGGGTGCACCTGGGGCTCAGGGTCTTCCAGGGCCTAAAGGTTTGAGAGGCTCTGGAGGTCGATCTGGAAACACTGGTGATAAAGGTGACCCAGGCCCTCTAGGGCTTTCTGGTAGGGAAGGACCATCAGGGTTCCCAGGACTACCAGGGCCACCGGGGCCCAGAGGAGAAGCAGGACCTGTAGGATTGGAAGGGCATGTTGGACCCATGGGCCCTCGTGGTTCTCCGGGGCCACCAGGACCACCAGGACCACCTGCTGTCCATATAATACCTCCTGAGCCCACTCAGGTCTCTGAACCCCCCAAACCAGCAGAACCACAAATCTCTGCATCCCCACAGCCCCAGCCCCATGTTGCAGTGCCCGGTGAGTTAATTGGTTACATAAGTGTAGAAAATAGATATGTGGCTCAGCACAGTTGGTGCCAGAACAGATTAAGCAGAGGGTTCAACAGGTTGTCGGGGAAGGGGGGGCAGCGCAGTGTGCTGTTGCTTTATGCAATGAAAAAACACATACGGCATCTCACATACTGTAACACAGTATTACACAGCACTGCAGCACCACAAGGTAGCATTGTTGCTCAGGAAGCCTAACCACACAGACTACTGAACGAAATACAAATGCCGTCCAAAGGAGCATGAACCATGATACCTTTTGTGAAAATGGCTTTTTCAGTGATTATATGTGTAGAATATCACATTCTGGTAACTAATCACTCCAGGTTGCCCACCTGAGTTCAGAAGCTTTGGAGACAGCTGCTATTACTTCTCCTCTGGTTCTCAGAGACTCAGCTTTGATGATGCCAACCAGTTTTGTACCAACAAGTCCTCTCATATGCTCATTATCAATGATGATGAGGAGCAGGTAAATTAAAGGCCCAGATATTATCTTTACTATTATTACTGTATTACTGGCATTAAAGAATGAAGCAAACTACTGAAAATAAAGTGGCTGATTTGTTAGTTGTGAACTAATTATATTGTAATTTATCTGTTGCTCTTATATCTGCAGCAATTTGTGAGAACTGCAATTGCAGGAAAAGGTTATTTCTGGCTGGGCCTGACTGACAAGGAGGAAGAAAATGTCTGGAAGTGGGTGGATGGAACCATACCTGTGTTCAAGTGAGTTACCCCGCCATATTGGTTTCACAGAAAAGTGAATTCATGCATTTTAGTGATTCCTGACTCGATTCCTTGCTTAATTCTGCTCAAAACAACAGGTTTCTGTGATTATAACTAACAAACACTTTGTATGATGCTTGAACTTCATGAACTACATGTTGTTCATGTTGCTGCTATCAGGAAGTGGAAGCCTGGCCAGCCTGATAACTGGACCCATGGCCATGAAGATGGCGAGGATTGTGCCGGCCTTATCCATGATGCCAACTGGAATGATTTCTACTGCACTGATCGCATTGGTTTCATCTGTGAACGTGCCTCTTGACTGTCAGTAACTTCAAACCTTTCTAAATTTTGAAATCTCTTTATTTGTGTTTGTGCATGATCAAGCAATGCTTTATTCTATCTCTCAATATTTCCAGACTTTTCTTCTGTCTGTGTCACTGAGTTCATTCATTCCTACTCCATGTGTAAATCTTAGGAAGCAGTTCACAAATATATAATTTCATAAAAGAAATGAGCATTGCTCAAATAGGAGTAAACAGTCCATTTGCTGGGTAATATTTTCTGTTGTCAATTGGTGCTCCAGTGAGCACCAATTTTTAAGGCACCAGGATGATATAAATAGGACTAACATGGATCGGGTTCTGTCTGAACCCGACTTGTGCCCAAGAGCGTGGCGTCTGAACCTGACAAGATAGTAATATATAATGTCCAAACCAGACTCGAGCCCAGTTGAGTTTGTACAGTGTTTTTCCCCTTGTCGTTAAACAAAGCAGACATTTGAGCACTGCACCGGTCTAACCTAAAGTTTTACCTATGTGTCTGAACCCAACCCAGACCCAAACATAATTTCTAAATTTCTGTCCGAACCCAGCCTGAATCCTTGGGTACTGCCAGGTCCCATCAGGCTCAGTTCGAGTATCCATACTCTAGTCCTCACCAGATGACACTTTGCATAGTTGCCATGAAAATGTAGATAGACATGTTTTTGTGATTCTGACAATAAAAAATATTGCTAACCCTGACCTTTAAGAAAGGCAGATCTGATGTCTGAAATAGGATGCTCACCTTACAAATTTTCTCCTAGACAAATGTTTTGAAAACATGATATCCCAGACGCAAGAGGACTGATTTTGACATAGGGTGCTGTGTTTTGAGATTTAAAAGAATATACTCACAGACTGGATGTACTATTAATAACTGTTAAAATTCAAAACTCAAAAGTAATACTTCAGGCACATTGTGGAGGTGTTAAAATTATCTTATGTATTATTGTTTTTGTTCTTCTCTTCATAGTGGACGTTCCAGCTTTATAGCATCTATTTAAGATGGTGTGAGCTGTCTGTGGGAGAAAGGTGAAGAGTGCTGAAATGGAAGTTGAAGATGTGAGGATAATGAAGGACACAAGGAGGAGCACTAGGTAACTAGAGGACTCTGATAAAGCCAGTCCAATCCAGCATCACTGAGACTTGGACTGATCTTTGTTTTAAAGGCACTTTACAACACAGTATGGTGCAGAAGATGGAAGAAGCACAGAGCCAGCCCACTATGGTATGTGTACTGGGAGAAACAAAAGAATGTAGTCATTTAATTGGGCTATACTAAGTCATTATTTAGTGCAGCCACTATTGTATAGGTGTACTGTATCTGTAAATAATTTTTCACAAAAGCTACATTATTGGTTGGGATTGAATTTCATATTGTTTCATTTTTTTTTGTGACTTTTTTCTTTATGCCACAGATTCAGAACTGTGATTTGACAGTGCTGCTAGGAAAATGATGAGCACTCACTCACCATTAGTAAATGACTGCACACTCAGCTAACAAGTACAAATAAAGCTAGTTGTGTGGTTGCTGAGTCAGCAGCATCCACACTACGGTATCCTGCTCTTTATTAGTATTCTTCTGTACATTTTTTGCCGCTGAATAACTCCAGCATACTTTCAGCTAGAAAAACCATTCAAATATCAAACTGTTCAAGGACATTATGGCATACATTCAACTTTTTGGTAACATTTATTTAAAAAAAATCCCATTGAAAAGAACAGGAGAGTCTTGAAATCTTCACCCTCTACTGAATAACTCCAGCATACGTTCAGCTAGAAAAACCATTCAAATATCAAACTGTTCAAGGACATTATGGCATACAGGGACAACAGCTTTTTCATATCTTTAACGGTTTTTGACAACGTTTATACCCCCTATGAGTGCCCTCATAATGAGGATGAATATCTTAACAGGTTGGCATTTATTATGTCATTTATCCAGGATAATGGATCTACATGTGTGTATATGTTGGAGACTTGAAAGCTGAGATTGGTGACACTCAATCAGTGTTTGGAAACCATCTAATGCAGCTCTTGCCTAAAAATAGTTTCATTTACAGCATATTAGTGACACTTGGCATAGCATCTTGGCTTGATCACTGTATCAGTAAGGCATGCTCATATCGATTTTATTGAGATCAATTATGATTAATTGTATACCTGTGAGTATAGTCTAAGTTCCTACTTATGTCAACTCTACTTAAATTAATGTTCATAAAATAAACAACTGTACATCTCCTTGATGCTAACAAAGCAAAATAAGTTTCCAAACCACAAAAGTAGTCCCTTCTATAACATAAATATAAGTGATATTTAACAAGTAAAAACATTAAACAATTTGTTTGATGCCAACTTGATGGTGTATTGTGGTGTTTGCTTCGCATTTTATGTCTTGTCTTAATTTGTAATTTCATTTAAGTAATTATATTTATAATCCAAAGGTGAATTAGTATTTTATTTTGCATTCTCAGAAGTTTGGTCTATAAAGAGTTGATGTACAGTGTTGATCATGATGATCACTTGATCAAACAAATGGCAATGAAGGGGACAGACCCTAGTGGCAGAATAGTAAAGAAATACAAAGCCGTTTAGGTGAAATGGAGTTTGTTCACTCTGAGTTCAGGGAAAGGGAAAGTCATGTTTTCACCTAACCTGCTTTAACCTGCAGGTTTTAAAATGGTTTTGAATGTTACTGAGGTGGCCTGTTAGCTTACTTTGACTGACAGATTTACTAACCTACTTAGTTACTAGCTGACAGATTAAGATTTTGAATGTAAACATGCTGAAAATTCAACTCGGCAGTTCCATAGCAACTCGGTGACGTCAACAAAGAAATGGCTTTGATCAGCGTGACGTCACCAAGTCTTGCACAGCGCCCGGCTTAATAACAGGCAATCACACAACTTCGGAACTTCAATAGAGACACCACGTTAGTGAGCAAGAGCGCTTAAACCGACAAACAAACAGTAAAAGACAACTGTTAACAGTTAAATACTTAGGTATTCAAGTACAAAGTGATTCTTCGAGTAAAAAAATGACAAGTTCTACCGGCAGACCTCAAAATTGTAGAAACAACAGACAGACAGCTCCCAGGAACAAGAACATGGACTGCGAAGCTCTTCATGAAGAAATCGGGAGGCTTCAAGGGATGCTGAGCAGAGGCAGGGAGAACTTTAACTATGAACAGAACTGGAGGATCCAATTTAGCCAAGAGCTAAGCCAGACAAAGGAACAGCTGGCTTACCAGAAAGCCAAGACTGAAGACTTTATCAAGAGGGAGAAAGAAGCTAGAAAGGAGCTTGAGAGGCTGAGGCAGTACTGTGACGCAGAAGCTCTCAGCGCCTCGAACATTGCCTCTCAGGTGGCCAATAGTATAAAGAGGAGGAAGAAGAAAGATCTTCAGAAAGACTACGAGGATCTGAAAGTGGCATATACGATATGCCAGAAGAGGTTCACGGATGAGCTCAATGCGGAGAGGAACAAGAACAGCGCTCTCCAAGAAGAACTGGAGAAGCTCAGAGCTTCACACCATGAGCTCAGCCTGAGAGGTGAGGACGATTCCCTCGCTCTCAAGCAGCGGGTGGAAAGTTTTCACAGTGAGCATGAGACAGAAAACAAGTCTCACTCCGACACGGTGGAGCAAGATCTCCAGCTGATCGACACCCTGAAGGCGGAGAAAGCCGCTCTAAAGGTGGAGAACGACAGGCTGAACGTGGAGAAAGCCGCCCTTCAGCGCGAGTTGGAGACTGAAAAGCTCGCTCATGCGGACAGGATAGAAAAAGATCTCCAGCAGATCGACACCCTTCAGTGTGAGCTGGAGAATGAAAAACTTGCTCATGCAAACAGGCTGGAAAAAGATCTCCAGCTGATCGAGGCCTTGAGGACTGACAAAGACGCCCTTCAGCGTGAGGTAGAGACTGAAAAGCTCACTCATGCGGACAAGGCGGAGCAAGATCTCAAGGTGATCAACACCCTAAGGACGGAGAAAGACAGCCTTCGTCAAGAGATGGCAGAGGAGATCAGCAGGTTGCAGAAAGAAGCTGATCACAAGGCTATGCTCTATCAGAGAGAGCTGGAGGAGTTGAGAAACCAGCTCGAGATTCAGACCTCACTCAATCTCCAGCTCTCTGCTCAGCTCAATGCTGAGGAAGTTACCAGCTGTGAAGAGCATGATAATGACCCTGAGGATCATCATGAGGATGAACTATGTGAGGACCAGGAGTCCCTCCCTGGTGCCCTCCATGATGAAGAACTGACAGAGAATGCTGTGGTCTCTGAACAGATCCTCACAGGGACAACTAAACCAAAGTCACGCTGGAAAAGATTTCGCCACTTTCTGGGACTGAGGAAACCACAGAAGTGGAAGAAGTAAACCCAGCTTCTTTTAACAGCAGATATTTAAATTAGAATAATCGGACAAGTAATCTGCTGTTAAAACCTTCTAAACAAATTAACCAGTTAGGCCAGATGCTTGATTAAATAACATGACAGGGCTGTCAGACATGTACTGACACGCCTGTCATGTAATTTAGTAAAAAAAAAAAAATTAATCAGGGCGGCACAGTGGCGCAGTGGTTAGCACTGTTGCCTCACAGCCCCAGCCAACCTGGGGTCTTTTTGTGTGGAGTCTGCATGTTCTCCCTGTGTCTGCGTGGGTTTTCTCCGGGTGCTCCGGTTTCCTCCCACAGTCTAAAGACATGCAACTTAGGTTGATTGGAGACTCTAAATTGGCCCCAAGTGTGAGTGAGTGTGTGTGGAAATTTGGTGGAGGGCCTAGTTGTTCCAGCCTGTCTGTTTCAGTCTGCCTTGAGGCAGCTGAGGTGGCTGCCTTAGCTTAGTTAGTATTGTTGCATGTCAGGAGTGCACTGCGCTAATGTAACTAGCAAAAAAAAAAACCTCTCCTGGAATCGCCGCCTTAACGTGGTGGAGAGGTTTGTGTGTCCCAATGATCCTGGGAGCTGTGTTGTCTGGGGCATTAGCCCCTGGTAGGGTCTCCCATGACAAATTGGTCTCAGGGGAGGGACCAGACAAAGAGCGATTCAAAAAGCCCTGATGAAAATGGCAACTTTGAGTTGCACTACAAATCAGGGTTGGGTGCAATGCAAGTTGGCTGGCAGGCTAGGTCATGTACTGCTACTGCAATATCCCTGTCAGTACTTCTGACACTACAGGTATTTCTAATGTTAATTATAAATAGGCTGACCTTCTTGCTAGCGTGAGCCCTGTTGAGCTAATTGCTTAAAGCAAAAAAATTTAAATGAATGTGCTACCTGTGAAGGCCTAAACCCTGTGTGTAGTTTGAAGTTGTAGGTAAAAGTTAGGTGTTGTTTTTTATTGGACATTCGTAATTGATCAATGAGCATGCACATTTGATTAATTTTGTATTGTTAATGTGTACATTTTCTCTTGAGTTACCCTGTTTCCTGGTCCATGGATGGGGGGGCAGTTCTAACAAAAGATTGAACTGAGGAAGCAGCAGGTTTAAATACCTCCCACTGTTATGTTAATTTCTTCACATTTAAAGAAAAACTGTTAGTTGTCAACAGACTGTCTGTTCAGTGTTTATTGGTAGTGTGTGTGGTCTATCCTTTGTGTGTTAGTAGTTTGGCCAGCCAGTATGTTCTCCTGTGTGTGTGTGTGTGTGTGTGTGTGTGTTGGTTTTTGTTGTGGTATTGAACAGTTCAGTTTGCAATATTTTGAGTTTCCTTATCTTCTGTTGACCTCTTTTAGGGCCCAGTTTAGTTGATATTGATGTTTGTATTTTTCCTTTTCCATTTTTGTGTTAATAAAAACCCATTGTTTTTTTAACTTTAAAAGCTGTCTTTTACCTTGCTGTTTGGTCCCTGACACTACCACAAAACAGTAATACACACAGAGTTGATCTGCTTTCAAAATAAGAGCCCTGAAGTATGCAGAAACAACTTCAATATAAACACTAACAACTGAATGCCCAGTTCCTCTCAAAGCTCAGAGCTTTGCTCCTTGTCACTGTCAGCTAGTCTGTCCTGTCCTAGCAGGACACATCACACAGCACCATCAGTCAGACCAGCACAGGCTGGAATGTGCTTGTGGTGGAAAGTTGATGTCAGGATGTTACAATGTCACTCTGAAGGATGCCGGATAAAGAATATAAGAGCCCCAGATTATAACTAGGTGTGACATGAGTGCTAGGTAACATGCCAACTTTTTCAAAATAAAAGCCCCAGATTGTTACTTAAGCTCACATTAAGGCACCATAACATGCACGATCTTCAAAATAAAAGCCCAGGATTGTATCTTATAATCACATAAAGACCCGTTAGTGTGAGAAGTGGCTTAAAATGCACGGTAAACCTTATTTGGACAATTATTTCTATTCATTTATGAAT